CTGTCTCTTTCAATTTGCACTCGGTTTACTTAGATGGATATAACCCAGATTGATGTTACACTATTGACCAAAAAACAAAGATGAAGCCGTTACCTATATTTCTATATAATATGTCACCACTTTAATTATTGCAGCTGTATATTATAGAATTGCTAAGGAAAAAAAGTGTCGTCCTTTAGCCTAAATAAGAAATCATTGGATGTCCTATTGAACCGAGTCAGATTACATATCATATAAAAATACGTATTTGTACCTGGGACTGGTGATTGGTCAGACGTTGTCGAATTACTATTTCATTTTGTGTTGTAATTGACATCAATTTTAGCATTGAACTTTAATATAAAAACGTGGGTGCTTAGTTTATGCTCTTTTCTCTTTCGACAAGCAATCGTGGATATCAAGTGCAAAGTCACACGTACATATGTGACTATTTTAACTTCCTTAAGCATGGATTTCAATATCAGGATTAATTCCAACCACTTGCTACAGATATTATATTTTCTGAGTTTGACAGCCTTTATCAGTATTCTTTTTGTCCTCTAAAGTCTTCAGTGTCAGGTGGTGTACAGAACCATTTGTGCTTGGCAGCTATAGTTTTTACTATTTTTCTTAATTTGATCACTAAATTTCGTACATGGAAATGCTCCTACAATTTTTTTGTAGATCATTTGAAGTTTTACTTTGTCTACAGATTTGCTGGAGCCATAGGGTTCCCGAACAATGGTTATTAACGTGTTGTTTTGGCAGAAATAGGATTCACTTGTGTTGTGTTTTCCATTTGTGTTGTTCAATGCTATTAATTTGAGTACTCAGCATATATAATTCCTGCGTTCAAGCTAATATGTGGTGCATGCATCTGCTTGGCACCCTGATTTCTTAGGGGATAAATGCAGGAGACACGAAGAAGCTGCAGGATGCAGGGATTTACACTTGCAATGGCCTAATGATGCATAACAACAAGGTTCTGAACTATGCATCCCAATACCCAAATCTTTGTTCTGTCTGTCTGAATTCTTGTTGCACAGCGCTTAAATTGATATCTTGTTTGTGGGACTTGCATGCTGCCTTTCATTTCTTCAATGTTATGAACATATGTCTATTGTTCTAATTTATGATTGTGGAAATTGACTTTGCACATTTGAGGATAAGCAATACTGATATATTCTTCCTGGTAATTACTACATGGAAGACATCCTCATGTAGAGGAGGGAAGGATGTAACAATTATGTTTTGTATTTTGGCTAGAGGTTCCCCGATGTAGCTATTCAAAATTCATATGCTGATAACTCATAGTTTTGCATTATTATACCACATTCATGTCAATATAATCCAAATGTCACTGAAACTTTCAGCTTGGAGTGGCCTTGCTGATTTCTAATAACCATTTTATCCATGATGAAGCTCATATGTGAATGAATCATGATGTTCTCTTCCAAGCTATGGACTGGCATCATTTTGTGTGAAAAAAAGTTGCAATGGGAAATGGATATTGCACTATAACTCATTAACGAATTTTGCAATTCTCCAAATATTTTTTACATGGGTTTATGATATTTGTATATCTCTTAAAAAGAAGGAATTTGAAACTATGAATGGCTATCACATTGGCATTCAACTTACCTTACTGAATAAATAATGAAAATGTGCTCAAATACTTTCAGCATGTTTGGTGGCGCTCCGTCGCTTGCTCCGCCAACAGATTCGGCACAAGAGCTAGAGGAGAAGCACTTCGCGTTTGGACGAGCGGGAGCCCTTCTCACGTACGTACAAGAAGCCATGATTCGCTGCTCCGGCATAGAAGCCTGCGGACGTGAAGTCATGCCAAAAACACCCTTGTCTCACTACTATGTTCCCGTGATAATTGTTCGGAGAAAGGCGGATAGGCAAAATAGAATTATAAACGTGACTCAAAAAAAGAATAACGATTTTGACAATTATATTTTTTATATGGTATATGTTGACTTCTCCTAAGTTTCATTGTCATTATTATTATTGTTTGATATAAAGATTATTTTGATAGACACGTGCGTGTCGCACGTGCATGTCTACTGGTCAAAATAACGCTTCGAGCCTTCGACCTTCGTCTTCCTCCATCCGACATTCGTCGTGCTATTCGGTTGCCGCCGGCCATGGCTGAGAGAGGGAGGGGGGTATTCTCGCCGAAAGGGAGGTCTGTCGGTCGCCAGGCCTCGCCAGATTGGTAGATCCGCCTCTGCTCTAGGTAGCCTTCCATGATTATTGTCTGTTTATAGTTTGTACTATATGAATATAGACATGTACTATTAGTGTTGGTTCTGTAAAAAATACGTCTCTAAAAATTATATATTTTAAGGGTGGTTAGTAACATAGTTCGCTTCTAGAAAACAGTACAGTACATAAATTTTGCTTTGCTATAATCTGGGGAATAAAAGGAAACCATATTATATCCTGAAGAACGCAATAAACGTCACAATGTGTAGCGCTACATTTTACTAAAGTCGATTCAATGACAACCTGGTGGGAAAAAAAACGAGATGCGGATGCACGTGGGATTGCGGTTGGTGTGTGCCGGCTGGATGCCCCATCTGCCGGCGAGATACGTGCATGCACGATGACTTGTGGCCGCGTCCCGCGTGAGTGCGTGTCGTTGTCGGACCGAACGCGTCAAAACTTCCCATTATTAGGTAGGCGACCCCAGTCGTCGTCGATCGTCATTTTCTTTCTTTTTTTGGTCAGGGTATGTGCGTTCTTCTTTTAGACTCGCGGGGCGTCGTCATCAGTCGTCCGCCTCGATGGTGGACCAGCTTGGGCTGCGGCATGCATGGTCACTCACGCCTGTTCATAGTTCATAAGAGCGATTAATTTCAATGAACCCTTGCGATCTTATTGCCTTAAAACAATGCAAAATGTTGTTTTGATACTCCTAGTTTATCATGGCTGTCGTTAGAGAACAAACTAGCTAGCGTGAATTTCTGAAGAAGCTAGCTTTATTTCACATGTGTGCACGTGGTGCATCTGTGCATGCGCCATGGAACGCCGTACCTGACCGGTTCTCCGATGGGTGTGCCGTGCGGCTTTCTGCCTTTCTCTGATTTGTTTCACGCTCCCTCGTTCAAGTCGTTTTGACAAGACTTATCAAATATTAAGAATATAAATGTTGAATAACTTTTAAGTTGTTAAGTTTGAAAATATGAAAACCATACGAATAGATTTGTCTTGAAAAGTACTTTCATAAAAATATACATGCATCACTTTTCAATAAATATTTTTTTTATAAAAATAAAAAGTCAAAATTATGCTTTGAAGACCGTGTCGCTTTCCAAAACGACTTGAATTACCAGCATGGAGAGAATATATAATTAATTTAGTCTAAGAGCGTTACAATGTTCATGTGTGTGTATTATGCATGAACCATTCATAGTACATGTACATTGTTGTTATTGGTCACGTTTGAGTACTCCTTCCGTTTCAAATATACAGTACATGACATCGTGTTATTTTTTATTATTCTCAATTTACTATTCATCTTCGTGATATATTTGCGCAAAGCATGGAATGAAGGCCACGCGGTTAAAGTTTTTTTTTATAGTAGACTTAATCAGTGATATTCTTTTTTCACTTTACTCAACTTGGTAACTGAATGAACAACAGAAAATGAACATAGCACGGGGATGCCAGCGCGGCCCTTTGGCTATGATGAACTTGTTATAGATGTCGCCCAGTACGCTTGAACTTGTTTGGTTCAAAAAAAAAACAAAGATTACGTTACTTTAGGTTTGGTTGAGCCAACAACGTAACCGGTGGCGGCGGGAACAGATACGGGCTATACAAAAGTTTGATACCGCCCAACTCCGAGCGTTAAAACCGATTACGCTGCCAACTCTAGGCATTAAACGACACGTACTCTACCAAACAAATTGCTTCTTTGCCTTACAATGCAACAAATCCCACCGCCAGAACATGATTCCATTAACGTTGTCACTCAAATGGAATTAGCGTGCAGGTACGTGGCGAGGTGCAGTGGGAGTACCGGATCGGAGTGGATGCTGATCGAGATGGATGGCGTCGCCGCTGCCGGGAACGAGTGGCCGCTGGCTGGCATAGGATAGGACTGGCCGGAGCGATCACAGGAGAGGACGGCGAATGTGATGTCTTTGAGGATTTTGAGAGATTGAAGACGCGGCTGCGTGCTCGCGATCGAACGCGGGAAATCTGCATGTTCGCTACATATTTTGCCAAAACGGTGGGTGTGGTGAGAACTTTATTTTACCTAAAATTCAGGCGCATATATACGCTGCCTCAAATATCGCGCTCTTCCATTCAAAAGATCTGAACACGCTGCGCTCTACTCCTGGATAATATGCCCCCTGCGCCAGAGCGTACAGACTACAATAGTGACCGATCCATGTATCGAAATAGGATAGTACTATAGGAATCAACAACGAATAGTAACTGTTCAACGACTGCAACGTGCAAACCCTTGTTTGAATTTTTATTGGAGGAAATAGTCAGTCGCACGTGTGTTTCGCGTAGTCCTTTTTTCTCTTATACTCGAATACAGCAGAGGAGAAAACGTCTCAGTTACATGCGCATCAACTGACCAACGTGCTATATATGCCGATCGAACACGAACCAAGTGCACAGGCCACACCTCTTGATCGAGATCGAAGAGGAACTGCATGCGGCGCAACTTTCCAGTAAATGGTCTTCATTTGGTCTAAAAACTGCGGCGTAACGGGCAGGTTTTGGCGTCCAATCAACGGATACAGAGGTTGACCAGAAAGGTAAGTAGCAAAACGTTTTTTGTCTTCCGATCACTCTACCAAAAGCGTAATCGTGCACTGTTCTCCATGCCATCTATTTATAGGCAGTCTTCTCGTCGTCCACAGCCACACACCATCAGAGTGCATGCACACTACCCAGCTCCTAACAACAACAGCTCAACCAAGCTGCTTAGTTATTAGCGCTTACTGGCATTGTAATTATCCCACGGGAGTTACAATCATCACGTACGCATTAGAATGGAGATCACGACGACGACAAGCACGATGGTAAAGCCCGTCTACTCTACCCCGCACCCTCTCGCCGGCGACAAGGTTCCGCTGACCGTCTTCGACCTAGCCGCCTTCGACATCTTCGTGCCTATCGTGTTCGCCTACCCGGCGCCGGCGCCGTCCAACGAGGCCCTCAAGGAGGGACTCCGCAGGGCCGTGGCGCTGTACCCTCACCTCGCGGGCCGCCTCGCTGTCGACGACCGCGGCCGCCGGTTCTTCCACTTGAACGACGAGGGCGTGCTTGTGGTAGAAACAGCCCTCTCGGCCGACCTGGCCGACGTGCTCGACGACGGTATGGCTGCCTCCAACGTCGACGAGCTGTACCCGACGCCTCCAGAGGTAACTAGCTACATACAGCAAGCTGCTTCTCAGTCACGCTCACGCGTCGCATGCATGCATTCATGTGTCTCTAGGAAACTGTGAACGTACTGTCATGTTCCTGACATTGGTATACACTGACACTTTACAACACGTGTACTCCATCCTACAGGACAACTTTGGGGCGGCACTGCTGCAGATCAAGCTCAACCGCTACAAGTGCGGCGGCCTCGTGATCGGCATCACCAGCCACCACCAAGTCGCCGACGGCCACTCCATGAGCACCTTCCTAACCACGTGGGCTAGCGCGGTGCGCGCGGGCAAGGACTTCAACTTTACAGCGCCGCCGCCCTTCCTCAACCGCGCGGCGACCGCCGTGCCCCGTGCCACGCCGGCTCCAGCTTTCGACCACCGGTCCATCGAGTTCAAGGGAGGGGACGATGGCGGCCGCAACTCCAAGCCCTACGCCGTCGTGCCCATGGACAAGATCAAGAACGTCACCGTGCACTTCACCGACGAGTTCGTCGCTGACCTCAAAGCGCGCGTCGGCGTCCGGTGCAGCACGTTCCAGTGCCTCCTCGCGCACGCGTGGAAGAAGATCACGGCGGCGCGGGACCTCGAGCTGGAGGAGTTCACGCAGGTGAGGGTGGCGGTGAACTGCAGGGGTAGGGCTAGCCCTGCCGTGCCGACGGACTTCTTCGGCAACATAGTGCTGTGGGCGTTCCCGAAGCTCCAGGTCAAGGACCTGCTGAACTCGAGCTACAGCCGCGTGGTCGACGAGATCCGCGACGCCGTGGCGCGCGTCGACGGCGAGTACATCCAGTCCTTTGTCGACTTTGGGGCCGCAGCGGACGTGAACGGGGAGGAGCTCGTCGCGACGGCAGCGGCGCCCGGCACGATGCTGAGCCCGGACCTGGAGGTGGACAGCTGGCTAGGGTTCCAGTTCCACCAGATGGACCTCGGCGCCGGGCCGCCCTGCGCGTTCCTGCCGCCCGACCTGCCCATCGAGGGGCTCATGATCTTCGTGCCGTCGCGCACTGCAAAGGGCGGTGTCGACCTGTTCATGGCCGTCGCGGAGTGCCATGTCGACGCGTTCGAGCAGATCTGCCACTCCGTCGATTGATCAAACGGCTTACGACGCACAGCATGGTTTCGGTTGCGTTCACTAGCTTCATTGTGATGATGTTTCAAAAAAAAAAAAAGCTTCATTGTGATGATTGCAGGGCCATACCTAAAAATTTGAGACCTGCAGGTGCAAAACTCGAACTTAGCCTTATATTTGAAATATAGCAATAGCCAAAATATTGTTCTAAACCATTACTCCCTCGCTACAAGAAATAGGGCTTTACATAACGGTTTACCGGTGACATTCTAAGAAATCATCGTAGAACTCTATTGTCTGACGGTTCATTTCTGAGGTGATACATCTGTGACGAGGTTTAGTTGTCGTTAGGGAAGGTGGTACCCCACCACTGAGATGCAGTGTTGTTTCTGATGAGTACTGATCTGTTTCAGATTTTGTCCTCTGCTAAACAAATTATAGTGCTTTGAAATCCCTAGTTTGTGACGTTTTGTGTTTGAACGCACAGAAAAAAATATTTCGCAAACTTTCGTGGTCCACGCGCGCCTCTAGGACTCAAAATTTTTCCTCAAGTGACTCCATCCCTCTTATCCTCTCCCATTCTCCCCGCAGCAACACACATGTCCCAGTCAACAACCTCTCTCCACCTTTCCTACCATCCTCTCCGACCATCCCTCCCCAATCCACCTCTCTCCATCTAGGTGCGCACGACGCGGGGCAGTGGCGGCGTGGATCTGCGGCGCGGGGCTGGGGGCTGAAGCTGCGATCGGCGTGGGGCTACAGGCGGCGTGGATCTGCGGGCGGTGCGGGGCTGCGGGCGGTGTGGATCTCTGGTGAGCTTCGTCGGTCAAGCCGCGGCTGGCGTAGATAGATGCTGTCGGGCGGCCGATTGTCCCGATCCTCGCGAAAGGTGGTCGTGACTCCGCCGAAGTCGCCGGTGTTCCGCCGATGGCGATTGCCCGGCTGCCCCCGCCGCCTTTGTTCGCTTTTAGCCCTTGGCGGTGCTCGGAGGAGGCCCAGCCCACCCGCCTTGTGCACCGACGTCCCCACGCCTCTGCGGTTGTCTTTGCGCCTCTCTCCTATTGCCTGCTGCGGTATGCTTTTGTCTCTGAAACAACCACTACTGGATTCAAGTTCTTTGCCGAGTGCCTGAGGCACTCGGCAAATGCCAAATTGCACTCGGCAAAGAACACACGGCAAAAAATTGATCGGCAAAGTCCTCTTTGGCGAGTGTCTTTTATCGGGCACTCGGCAAAGGCTTTGCCGAGAACCCCGGGGGCACTCGGCAAAGAAAAGCGACCGTCACGGCGTCGGCCCTGTTGACGGTCGCTTTGCCGAGTGCCAACCCTCAAAGATTTTTTATTTTTTTTTAAAAAAATTCTTTATCGAGTGCTGTCTGTCGTGTTCGGCCCTTGGCAAAGATGTTTTATTTTTTTTTCTAAAAACTCTTTGCCGAGTGCCCCCTGGCCGGCGCTCGGCAAAGTTTGAATTTTTTTTTAAAAAAAATTCTTTACCGAGTACCATGGTCATGGCACTCGGCAAAGCTGAAAAAATGGTTTTCCTTTCCGAGCGTCCATTTTTCCAGCTTTGCCGAGTGCTGTGACCATGGCACTCGGCAACGGGGTCCTTTGCCGAGTGTGTTTGGAATTACACTCGGCAAACCTATTTTCCAAAGAAAAAAATATTTTTTCTCAGCATACTGTTACTGTTCGTCGAGTGTTTTTTGAAATTACACTCGGCAAACCTATTTTCCAAAGAAAAAATATTTGTTTCTCAGCATATACTACTGTTCCAGCTGACGTGCACATGCCAAGCCCTGTCTGCCAAATAATCCTCCGAAAACACAAGCAGGAGGCGCCGAAAGGGATCTAACCTCTCAAGGGACGATGCCTACCCATCTAAAGCTCCCATTTGGCACCAAGTTTGTCGGATCCAAATGCCAATTTCTCTCATGAGCAGAGGCACCAGCTGCACCGGCAGAAGCTGGGGCAGGAGCAGCAGCAGCAGCAGCAGCAGCCACATCGCCACCACGGGCACCGACAACACCAGGAGCAATCGAACCAGCAGCAGCCGTAGCAACAACACCCGGTGTCGCTCCTCCACCGCTCCTCCTCCGTCATCATCTCCATGAAGGCCGACACAGGGGCTCGAGCTGCGGGGGTGGCTGCTGCTCGTGCTCCTTCTCCAGCGGCTGGTACAGCGCGCTGTTGACGACGTCCTTCTTCCTCGGCGACGTCTCCGCCAGTCTGCATGCAGGTGATTGCTTAATTTGCACGGTCGTTGCCGACAAGTCAAGATTAAGAACGGGCATCACGGTGCAGTGCAGTACATTGGGACGGCAGCTTGGAGTCCGCCGCCTCCGCCATGACCTCGTAGTAGTAGAAGTCGAAGTGCGACCTGCTGCCGGGGTACAGGTCGCTGGCGCCCTGGATGCTGAAGAGCGACTCGTTGGACGCCATGCTCCACTCGGCCTGCGACACCGACGTCCTGTGCTGGAACATGTATTGAAGTCTGGACTGCCCAGAGTCCTCACAAACATAACACATAATCTTTATATGGTAAGACACATAGTTCAGAGAGCACAAATCATTTCAGTTTAATTGTAATACCATGAGAGTGTGAATAAAATGTGTGGAACTGAAAGAAAAGGTATAGTTCAGAGAGCACAAATCATTAGCCACACTCACCTACTACAACCATTTCATTTCTGGTTATAAAGTGCAGCAAAAGGTAACTCATCCTTAAACACACTCACCTAATACTACAATACTGCTGCAATTAAGCAGCAAATTAGTGAATGTCTAGGAGCAGATATACAAAAATGTAAATTACACCAACATCATCACGCCCAATTAAACAGCCCAGAGGTTGCATAAATTACAATTAAATAGTTCAAATGTACTGTAATCCATGTCCTTTCGATTATGTGCAAGGTTAAATAGATGACAGTGTAGATATGCTAAGTTCAGTACAAAGAAATACTTCAAAACAGAGAATCGATCTAGAGAACTAGCAAGGTACAGAAGCAGTTCTACTGCCGACACACATGCATCCTATTTCAAAGCTAGGAAGGATTAAACAAGTATTTAATTCCAAGCATGTATGAACCAAGCACTAGAATAATTAATTAGAGCTGCAGGCAAACATGTCACAATTACTGGATGATTGGTCGGTGAAGCACAAAAGTAACAATTGACAGTTTGAGAACTGAAACTTGTTGCTTACCTGCTCAAACCGGTGAATTCACAGCAAGGTGCTTATATTGCACAAGCACTGAATCCATGTCCAGCTGCTGCTCTGAATCCAAAGCATTGCAAACCTGCACCCTGAAAGAAGCCAGCCAAGTTGCCGATTGAAAATGGAATTAGCAAAAGCCTACTGCTGCTGAAAATCCAATTAATGTGAACTGCTGCTCCTGCTCTTGGTGCTGTGCGTGCACGGGTTCTGGATGAGCACCGATTGGTGCTTGGAAGCTGAGCACGGCCAACCAGAGGCGAGTGAGCTTCGGCGAGGACTGGACACTGCCGCACCGAACTGCAAACAGAGGGAGGGAGCAGGCTCGGGTCTGCACGAGCACACACAGGTTTTGACCGGTGAAGGCACCAGCGCCTGCGAGCTGCACCTGAGAATTACGAACTGGGACCGAGCGCAAGAAACAGACACGGGCGAGCGCCAAAAATTCGACGGGAACTCGACCAAAACAAAAGGACTCGTCCCCAAACTTTGCACAGGCAATCACCACAGAGTAGGTAAGCTATTCCCAAGAAATCATCGCTCAATTCATGCTCAAACTCCAGAAAATCCAGATCACGTGCGAGAACTCGAAAAATCCCCAAAAACAAAATCGTGGTGCTCAAGTGAAGGATTTGTTAGGGGATCACCCTAGCCTTGATCACACATGCCCTAGCACCAAAATCCCTCAAGAAGTTTCACCCCAATCACAGCCAAATTCGACGAACCAAAAATCACTAAAAATGCCTCCGAAAATCACACAAAAATAAAAACTTCAGTTTTGGAGAGGGGAACAAGTGGTGCACGAATTTGATCCTGGAATTAGCTTAAGATGTCGGATTACAAGCCACTTCAGTTTTGGCGGCCGGGGGCAGAGGGCGCTGGAGGCGGCTGGAGACGGGTGTGCCTGTGTGCGTGTGCGGCGCGGGTGGGTGTGCGCGTGCGGCGTGCGTGGCCGGATGGGGGGTATATGAGTGGGGGTTTGCCGAGTGTGCCGGATCCGGCACTCGGCAAACATCTTCTCTGCGGACTCGGCAAATGGAAAATTTCTAAAATAAATTCAAAAAACCTCTTTGCTTAGCGCCTTGTTCTGGGCACTCGGTAAAGACCCACTTTGTCGAGTGTCATGCTCCGGCGCTCGGTAAAGTTTTTTTTTTATTTTTTTGTTTTTGGCCTCTAAATTTTTTGTGCAGCTATTTTAAAGTACCAGGAACTCCTCGTTAGAATTTGGGGATTTTTTTTGGCTTTTTGATATATTTAGTTACTTTATTTCGTTTACTTGAATTTTTTCGAAAAATATAAATTTGAACTGCACGTGGTATGAATAATGGAATTTAATAATTTAAAAATGATAATATTGAAAGTGTAGTGTGATAAGAACGGAGTGTAGTGTGAGGCTATAAGTGAGAGCGGACTCAAAATTTAAGACATCTTGTTTCACGAATACGTATGTGGAGCGAATGATAAAATTGAAGTGTTTTAAACGATGCTATAAACCAAGACATCTTTATATGTGTCACTTGGAGATGTCCTGGTTTATAAGCATCGTACGTGACAACGTGCACGAAATCTTCTAAAAATTTTATCATAGTCTCCACATACGATATCACGATATCTCAACAAGTTTCATAATTTTTGGACTTCGTTTGCTTTTTATAGAATTTAAAAATACTTTCTCACACAAGTTTACGGTCATGTTTCGTGAACAAGATGTTTGAAATTTCGGGTCCGTTCCTGAATACGGCCTCACACTACACTCGGTAACATGACTATCATTTTTTGAATCATTAAATTCCATTATTTGTACCACGTGTAGTTCAAATTTACATTTTCCGAAAAAATTCAAGTAAACGAAATAAAGTAACTAAATATATAAAAAATCCAAAAAAAATCCCCAAATTCTAATGAGGAGTTCCTGGTACTTTAAAAGGGCTACACAAAAAATTTGGAGACCAAAAACAAAAAAAACTTTGCCGAGCGCCGGGGCATGGCACTCGGCAAAGGCGGTCTTTACCGAGTGCCAAGAATAAGGCGCTCGGCAAAGAGGTTTTTTGAATTTTTTTTAAAAAATGTAATTTTTTAAAAAATGTAATTTTTTTTATTCCTTCCTTTGCCGAGTGCCGAAGCTGATAGGCACACGACAAAGATATTTCAAAAAAAAATATTGAATCTTTGCCGAGTGCCGTATCAGGGGCACACGACAAAGTCTTTTTCAAAAAAAAACTTTACCGAGTGGCTAACAGTAGGCGCTCGGCAAAGAAGGACGTGGCCGAACACCGTTACGCGGGGCAGCCTATGCCGAGTGCCGCGCTTTTACCGAGAGTCTGGCACTCGGCAAAGAAGTCCTTTGCCGAGTGCCCTTTTTTACCGAGTGCTCGGCACTCGGCAAAGAATTCTTTGCCGAGTGAAATTCTTTGCCGAGTGCGGCACTCGGCAAAGAAGGTCTTTGCCGAGTGCCCGATTTTTGACACTCGGCAAAGTAGTTTGCACTCGGCAAAGTAGTTTGCACTCGGCAAAGGCCCTGTTTTCAGTAGTGAACAATAGATTTTAGCCGAACCCAACTCTGAATTTGGTACCAAAATTACATTGTTTTTAACCGAATATGAGCCCCTGCAACTTTAAACGGTGTAGGTTTTGATCCATGTCCTCAAACAAGATCGGTAGACCTTTATGTCTAGGACATATTTGTTTATTGTAGATTGAATCATGTACATGTGAATTTAGAAGAAATTCTTTGATGAACATGGGATGCCAGTCTCAGTTATGAGCTCTGAACTTATAAATTGCAGCTATATTATTATCATAATTTTGACATTAGTTCTCCAACCTAAGGCCTTGTTTGGTTGGGCTTTTCAACCTGTTTTTGCAAAAGCCAAAAGCCAACCAAAGGGCTCAGAAGCCACAACTGCTTTAGGCCAAAAGCTGCTTTTGTTGTAGTACAAAATTGAAAGCAGCCCTCCCCCTGCTTTCGCATGCTTTTGGGGCAAAAAATTACCCACCTGCCACTGGTTATGAAACATATCGTTTTGTTTTTTGTTCTTCTATTACCGTCATATGCGAAGGAAGGGGAGGTCACGCGGGTTCGCACGCCGCGGCCGAGCTTCGCCGCCCCATCACCGGCCGCTGCTCCCTCACCGGCCGTGCGAGGTCCTAGATCCGGCTGCGCAAGGTCCGGCTCCTCCCCTCCCCTGTAGCGTGCGGGCCTCTACCCCCTCACCGGCTACTACTTCTTCCCGGCGGCGCGCGCGGGTAAGACTTCTCTCCATTGTGGCAGAACCTCCTAAATTATAGGACCCACATGCATCTGTCATTGTCCATTGACTTCTGACGACTATACACATGTTCCCGGTAACTTAAGAAGCCTGTCGGGTGTCCTTGGGAAACCCGAATCATCCACGATTTCTTCCGAGCAGGATCCATTACAGAGTCATTGCAGTATTACAATAATTTATTTAATAATTTACATCAGAGTAACATAGCGGAAGTCTTACATTACTTAGTTACAAAACAGTTGTTTCAATTCTTATAAACTAAGTACGATTATTATTACAAACCATAATAGTAGAGTAGCTTTAGTAACATAAAATATAACACACAAAGAAAGTGCCCTGCCCAAGGACTACACTTTTACTTGTCATATTCGATTTGAAAAATAGTCATGCAGCACGGTCCAAAGCAGACCTGCTCATGAGGCTCACCTGCAACAAGGGTTAAAGAACCCTGAGTACAAAAGTACTCAAGAAGACTTAACCGACGTAAAACTGATAAGACTCAGGAATGTAGGCTTGGGATTCAAGGTAAGGTTTTAGCAATAATTAAAGTTCTTTTGTGTAAAAGCTCTCTAACAAGATTCTTTCTTTCAACATTTAAATCTTCATTAAGATCATATATGAATCTGCCATGATCCATATTAAGATCATGAACTTCATATCAAACTCTTTCTCAAATCTTACTCAAGTTTCATTTGTTAACTACGATGATGAACAGTGAGTTAAGTCTCCATAACCGAGGAGCAACGACGATTCAAACTGATTATAACCCAGCTAGGGATTCCTAACCACACGGTATATGCAGGTCCCTGACCTACATATATCAACCTACCCTCAGATCCTCTAAAACAAAAATGGGTCCACGCCACCCGAGAGCACAGTACTCCACCAATCCAGCCCATTGCCACGTGGGTACACGCTACTCCTGCCATCTCTCTACTCCCAGCGCGCGAGTAGCC